TATCATCCGATGGCTTTCCGACAAGTAATTCCGACGATATTTGTTGACGGTATTTACCGAGTGACTTCCGACAAATCGAAATTTCCGAGACCCAAACGCCGACTAAAATTTAATTGTCGAAAAATTATGGGAAACGCTCGTTACCGACAAACTTCTTATTAATCTGTCCCTCGGAATGTGAGCATTATTCTTGTAGTGACATTTCATGCACCTCATAACATCATGATTCATTTCCATCTTAATTACAATCTCTAAATAAGAGTAAACGGTAAAAAAAAGTAAAAACAAATAATAAATTATTTCCATCATCAATATGGTTATGTAGGGGGAGTGACAGCGATGCCAGACTTTCTAAAAAAGTTTTTCCCGGTGGTTCACCGGAAAGTAGAAGCCGGAGCCGACAGAGACAGCAACTACTGCAAATACGACAACCAAGGACTACAACTCTTCACATCATCTCTATACTTAGCCGGTCTAACCGCAACGTTCTTCGCTTCATACACTACTAGAACGTTAGGACGTAGACCAACCATGCTCATAGCTGGCGTGTTCTTCATCATCGGTGTGATTCTCAACGCCGCGGCTCATAACCTAGCCATGCTTATAGCAGGGAGGATATTGCTTGGTTGTGGAGTTGGGTTTGCTAATCAAGCCGTGCCCTTGTTCTTGTCGGAGATTGCACCTACTAAGATCCGTGGTGGTCTTAATATTTTGTTTCAACTTAACGTCACTATTGGTATCCTCTTCGCTAATCTTGTCAACTATGGAACTGCCAAGTAAATATCTCTATCCTTATATCCTCTTCTTATATTATTTTTTGATAAAGTGAAATTAAAATGTGTGAAAGTAAGCTTAAAATTAATAAAAGTTTCAAATAAATATGTGGTTATAACGATTTTACATATACTTTTCTAAACTATTCCAAAGTTTTCTTTATCTTCTTTTTTTTTCGGTAAATCAATATGTAGTGAAAACGATTCTACATATACTTTTCTAAACTATTCCAAAGTTTTCTTTAGCTTCTTGTCATACTTTTGGTTGTTAATATTCAACTACCATCTGAAAAGCATTTTATCGTTTTTAAGTCTATTTAAGATATCTCTATCCATATATCCTTATCTTATTTCTTGTATATATATTATTATTGATTAAAGTGAAATTAAAATGTGTGAAAATAATTTTAAATAAATATATGGTGATAACGATTTTACATATACTTTTCTAAACTATTCCAAAGTTTTCTTTATCCTTGTTGTCAAATTTTTCTTGTTAATATTCAACTACCATCAACAAAAGCATTTTAACTTTTTTTTAATACTAGTAGATATTTAAGTCTTCCGTGATTTCAGCAAATACTATCCACATGCCTACGTGACTACGTCTTATCTTATTGTACACGGTATCTAGTCGTATCTCATTTTTTACGTCATGCCCTAATATTTTTTCCTCTGCTTTGACTTTTAATGCGGCTATGACGGATGATCTGTCATTTAAGCCGAGTTAATGGACTATAACTATCTATCTACTTACTACTTAGCCCCATACTGGAGTTAAATACGGGCCCACTAAATAAATATTTTTTTTTTCAGGATCAAGGGAGGATGGGGATGGAGACTGTCCTTAGGTTTGGCCGGTGTCCCGGCTCTTTTACTGACGGTGGGAGCTTTGTTGGTGACGGAGACACCGAACAGTCTTGTCGAAAGAGGTCGTCTTGATGAAGGCAAAGCAGTTCTACGTAAGATTAGAGGTACTGATAATGTGGAGCCAGAGTTTGCTGATCTTCTTGAAGCTAGCCGCCTTGCTAAAGAAGTCAAACACCCTTTTAGAAACCTTCTTCAACGTAGGAATAGGCCTCAGCTTGTCATCGCTGTCGCTTTGCAGGTTAGTATAGTCTGAAATGTTATCTCCCTTCTGGAGTGTTTTGCTTAGCATGCGGTTTTTCGGTTTATTCGGTTTATTTGGGTCTGGTATTTTCGGTTTCGGTTAATTTGGTTCGGCTACAATCCTACCAAAATAAAATGAAAATACTTAGGTTTGGTTCGGTTATTGTTTAATTTCAGTTTTAAAACCAAAATTTTGGGTCCTGATTAGATTTCAGTTTATTTTTTAAAAAAACTCAGATAAATTCAGTTTTTCGATTAAATTTTTTTAGTTCGATTAATATAATCGGTTTGGTTATTTAAAATAATTTAAGTTTTTAAAAACCGAACAAACTGAAAACCGAAATATTTTTCAACAGCTTTACAAACTAAACCGAACTCAAAACCGGAACTAAATTGGTTCGTTCTTCTGGTTCAGTTCAAATCTGTATGGGTAGTTTGCTCTTAGTTCATGCTAATCCGTTGTTGCTTGATGATTACGCAAAAAAACTGCAGATCTTCCAACAATGCACTGGAATCAACGCCATCATGTTCTACGCTCCTGTCCTTTTCAGCACGTTAGGGTTTGGCAGTGACGCTTCTCTCTACTCTGCAGTGGTCACCGGTGCAGTTAACGTGCTCTCCACGTTAGTCTCAATCTACTCCGTTGACAAAGTCGGTCGTCGTGTTCTTCTCCTTGAAGCTGGAGTCCAAATGTTCTTCTCACAAGTCGTGATCGCAGTTATACTCGGCATCAAAGTCACAGACCACTCTCAAAACCTCTCCAAAGGGTTTGCGATTCTAGTCGTGGTGATGATCTGCACCTACGTAGCTGCTTTCGCCTGGTCTTGGGGACCACTCGGGTGGCTAATCCCTAGTGAGACTTTCCCTCTAGAGACACGATCTGCTGGACAGAGTGTGACGGTCTGCGTCAACCTCCTCTTCACTTTCATTATCGCTCAGGCTTTCCTCTCGATGTTGTGTCATTTCAAGTTCGGGATCTTCCTCTTCTTTTCTTCGTGGGTCTTGGTGATGTCTTTCTTTGTGATGTTCCTACTTCCTGAGACTAAGAACATTCCTATCGAGGAGATGACTGAGAGAGTGTGGAAGAAGCATTGGTTTTGGGCTAGGTTTATGGATGATCATCACGATGATCAAGTGTTCAGTGGTGTAAATGGCAAGAAGAGTAACGGTAAATCTAACGGTTTTGACCCTTCAACACGGCTCTAAACCAAACTAGAAGCGAGAGAAACACCAAATAGTTGTAAGAAAATACACTCTACTTAAGGTTTACTTCAAGCTGAGTTTGTGTATAGGTAAAGTACTTAATTAATGTCTCATCCAACAAGTGTTATGTTCTGTTTTTGTTTTCAAGAGAGTGAATGTATATTTTTAAGTCCAAAGTTTGTAATTTGTTTAATTTCTACAAGGCATTTTCCCCAAAAGTGAAGATGTAGGCTATGTTAGTGGGTATAAATTGGGTTTGTTATGGGCATAGTATGGCCATTAATATATTATCATGAAAATTGGAAGCACATGGATTGTGTGTCAGTTACAGATTTCTTTTTCATATCTGGTGAATGCTGCAGTGATTGAACTGTTAGAGATAGTACTATAAAAACTGATAAGATAGTGATTTTAGCATGAAAATATAATTTAGATAAGTAAATAAATCTGGTGACGAATATGTAGGAGGAAGAGTAACTGGCAAGTAGAAATATTAAAAGATGATTCAAAACTAACATTCTTTCCTTACAAGCCTTCCAAACTTTAAACCATGATGAAACACTTTTACAACAAATATAGTTCTTATGGTTGTGTTTGTGTCACTGTTTGCGTTTCTGTTTTAATTTTTTAATTTGTTATGTTAAGAGTAATAATAAATGAACTGATCCTAGTATGTATACATCCGATCAGAATCCAACTTATAGTCAGAGGCGGCCTTTGGGGCCAAGTCCATCAAGCACTTGCTTCCGGCCGGAAAAAATATACAAATTTTCCATCGACAAAATTATAAGATTCATAGTGGTGTAATGGCTTAAAACATTATTAGTTAAGGCGGCTGGCGCCAGATTCGATTCTTCTAAGTTGTCAGGACTGACTCTGCTTATGGCTGATGTGAGGTTCCTAACAACATTTTTGGAAGATGGTTCTTCTAACTCATTCATTTATAACAAATTATGGTATAAATGTTAGTCTTGAGTCAGATTAATACTGAACCGTTCAGATGATCAAAATCTTTTTTTGTTCACGATCTTTAATTTATATCAAGATTCATATGTTTTCCAATTTCAAATCATCTGGGAATGGGTGCACTGACTTTACTATGTAAGACAACTAAAAGTAGTTGGCGCAAAAATAATACATTTAAGTGAATCTTTGGATATTTCAAGTCAGTATAAGAAATCAAGTTCAACACCAATAAAAGATAAACAAGTAAACAATCTTTGTCGGTATTTTGGTTTTTAGTCACTCCTTTCTCAAAATTAGCCAACTAACCAAAATAATAAAGTTGCCTCTTCATACATATTACTTATACCACTTAGTTTCATACCTCATTATATATACATACCCTTGTGGGACTTTCGACCAGATATTGAAGAAGAGTGAGAGAATGGCGGTGAGGACAGTGGTGGATTTGGCATGCATGGTGCTGTTACTACGGTTGAGTAAAGCGGCGGTGTACAAAGTCGGCGACTCAGCCAGCTGGACAACCATAGCCAACGTAGACTATAAGCTATGGGCCTCAACCAAAACTTTCCACATTGGTGATACTGTCTGTGAGTACCACAATTTTCTGACCACATAAACTATAGTCTATACATTAAGATGAACAGATCTTGATTCTAAATATAATAGCTATCGCTATTGGGGGTAAAGTTTAAAATATGGGCTTCCCCAGCGTCCGGTGACCAAGGCGTACTCCGGCCGATAATGTAGGCTGATACAGACACTCGCCGTTAGTAGATACAACGGGTTATTCAAAAAAAAAATAGCTAGCTTTACTTATATCGGAAAGTGGGTCCTAGTCCAGCACTCCCATTTTGTTTTTTGTTTTTTCACATTTGCTCAAAGTATGAATGACTATTAAGTTTAGAACTGATCTAAAGATTATTTGATTTTAACAGTGTTTGAATACAACCTACAATTTCACAACGTGATGAGAGTGACGCATGCAATGTTTAAAAACTGCAGCAACTCAAACCCAATCTCCACCTTCACCACGGGTAATGACTCAGTCACACTCTCCAATTACGGCCACCATTTCTTCTTCTGCGGCGCTCCCGGCCATTGCATGGCCGGCCAAAAGCTCGACCTCAACGTCATTTACCCTGTCTCCTCCACCACATTCTCTAATCCACCTATTACCTCCTCCTCTCCTCCTCCGTCAACTACTACTGTATGAACATCATACACGAACATACTATTTAAGAGATGATATGCATTTTTTTTGTTTTAATGCATAGTTACATCATACACGAACATAGTATGAATATTAAATAGGTTTGAGACCTTAAATGTTTCTATTTCTCCAGAAAATAGGATTTTTATTGGGGTTATTCCACATATTAAGTGATATATAAATGTTAAATAAATTAGTCACTGGAAAATTAGAAATGATGCCCATGTACCATCAATATAAGTTAAGCAAACATATATAAAAAATTTTGAGTGCGTTTAGGTATTTTTTAAACAACACGAAAGATGGTAAATAGTATACATAGTATTTAACAGAAAATTCAGCTTTTTCATAGGGGTTAGCCCATATTTCTCAAGAAAAATGATAAAAAATGGAATTTTTGTTTTAATGCATAGCTGCATCATACCAACATAGTATGTATATTAAATAGGTTTGAGACCTTAAATGTTTCCGTTTCTCCAGAAAATAGGATTTTTATTGGGGTTAATCGACATATTAAGTGATATATGAATATAAAATATACTAATTATTAGAAAAATGGAAATGATTCACATGTACCATAAAGATATGTTTATCAAACATATATAAAATTTGGAGTGTGTTTAGGTATTTTTTAAACAACACGAAAGATGGTAAATAGTATATATAGTATTTAACGGAAAATTCAGCTTTTTCAGAGTAGTTAGCCCACATATTTCAAGAAAAATTATAAAAAATTGAATTTTTGTTTTAATGCATAGCTACATCATACACGAACATAGTATGAATATTAAATAGGTTTGAGACCTTAAATGTTTCTATTTCTCTAGAAAATATGATTTTTATTGGGGTTATTCCACATATTAAGTGATATATAAATGTTAAATAAATTAGTCACTGAAAAATTAGAAATGATGCCCATGTACCATCAATATAAGTTAAGAAAACATATATAAAATTTTTTTGAGTGCGTTTAGGTATTTTTTAAACAACACGAGAGATGGTAAATAGTATATATAGTATTTAATTGAAAATTCAGCTTTTTCATAGGGGTTAACCCACATTTTTCAACCAAAAATTATAAAAAGGGAATTTTTGTTTTAATGCATAGCTGCATCATACACCAACATAGTATGAATATTAAATAGGTTTGAGACCTTAAATGTTTCCGTTTCTCCAGAAAATATGATTTTTATTCGGGTTATTCCACATATTAAGTGATATATGAATGTTAAATAAATTAGACATTGGAAAATTAGAAATGATGCTCATGTACCATAAAGATATGTTTAGCAAACATATATAAAATTTAGAGTGCGTTTAGGTATTTTTTAAACAACACGAAAGATGGTAAATAGTATACATAGTATTTAACGGAAAATTCAGCTTTTTCTCATAGGTTAGCCCACAAATTTCAAGAAAAAATATAAAAAAGGACTTTTTGTTTTAATGCATAGCTGCATCATACACCGACATAGTATGAATATTAAATGGGTTTGAGACCTTAGATGTTTCTATTTCTCCAGAAAATAGGATTTTTATTGAGGTTAATCGACATATTAAGTGATATATGAATGTTAAATAAATTAGTCACTGGAAAATTAAAAATGATGCCCATGTACCATAAAGATATGTTTAGAAAACATATATAAAATATAGAGTGCGTTTAGGTATTTTTTAAACAAAACGAAAGATGGTAAATAGTATATATAGTATTTAAGAGAAAAATGAGCTTTTTTCATAGGGTTTAGCCCACAAATTTCAAGAAAAAATATAAAAAATGGATTTTTTGTTTTAATGCATAGCTGCATCATACACCGACATACTATGAATATTAAATAGGTTTGAGAGCTTATATGTTTCTATTTCTCTAGAAAATAGGATTTTTATTGGGGTTAATCGACATATTAAGTGATATATGAATGTTAAATAAATTAGTCAATGGAAAATTAGAAATGATTCCCATGCACCATAAAGATATGTTTAGAAAACATATATAAAATTTGGAGTGCGTTTAGGTATTTTNTATGAATATTAAATAGGTTTGAGAGCTTATATGTTTCTATTTCTCTAGAAAATAGGATTTTTATTGGGGTTAATCGACATATTAAGTGATATATGAATGTTAAATAAATTAGTCAATGGAAAATTAGAAATGATTCCCATGCACCATAAAGATATGTTTAGAAAACATATATAAAATTTGGAGTGCGTTTAGGTATTTTTTAAACAACTCAAAAGATGGTAAATAGTATATGTAGTATTTAACGGAAAATTCAGCTTTTTCACAGTGGTTAGCCCATATATTTAAAAAAAAATATATAAAAAAATGATTTTTTTTTAATGCAGAGCCGCATCATACACCGACATAGTATCAATATTAAATAGGTTTGAGACCTTAAATGTTTCTATTTCTCCAGAAAATAGATTTTTTATTGGGGTTAATCGACATATTAAGTGATATATGAATATTAAATAAACTAATTATTAGAAAAAAGGAAATGATTCACATGTACCATAAAGATATGTTTAGCAAACATATATAAAATTTGGAGTGTGTTTAGGTGTTTTTTAAACAACACGAAAGATGGAAAATAGTATATATAGTATTTAACGGAAAATTTAGCTTTTTCATAGTGGTTAGCCCATATATTTATAGAAAAATTATAAAAAAATGAATTTTTGTTTTAAGGCATAGCTACGTCATACACGAACATAGTATGAATATTAAATAGGTTTGAGATTTTAAATGTTTCTATTTCTCCAGAAAATACAATTTTTATTGAGGTTAATCGACATATTAAGTGATATATGAATGTTAAATAAATTAGTCACTGTTGGAAATTATGCCCATGTACCATAAAGATATGTTTAGAAAACATATATAAAATTTGGAGTGTGTTTAGGTATTTTTTAAACAACACGAAAGATGGTAAATAGTATATATAATATTTAAGAGAAAAGTGAGCTTTTTCATAGGGTTAAGCCCACAAATTTCAAGAAAAAATGTAAAAAATGGAATTTTTGTTTTAATGCATAGCTGCATCATACACCGACATAGTATGAATATTAAATAGGTTTGAGAGCTTATATGTTTCTATTTCTCTAGAAAATAGGATTTTTATTGGGGTTAATCGACATATTAAGTGATATATGAATGTTAAATAAATTAGTCAATGGAAANAAATAGGTTTGAGAGCTTATATGTTTCTATTTCTCTAGAAAATAGGATTTTTATTGGGGTTAATCGACATATTAAGTGATATATGAATGTTAAATAAATTAGTCAATGGAAAATTAGAAATGATTCCCATGCACCATAAAGATATGTTTAGAAAACATATATAAAATTTGGAGTGCGTTTAGGTATTTTGTAAACAACTCGAAAGATGGTAAATAGTATATGTAGTATTTAACGGAAAATTCAGCTTTTTCACAGTGGTTAGCCCATATATTTCAAAAAAATATAAAAAAATGGAATTTTTTTTAATGCATAGCCGCATCATACACCGAGATAGTATCAATATTAAATAGGTTTGAGACCTTAAATGTTTCTATTTCTCCAGAAAATAGGATTTTTATTGGGGTTAATCGACATATTAAATGATATATGAATATTAAATAACTAATTATTAGAAAAATTGAAATGATTCACATGTACCATAAAGATATGTTTAGCAAACATATATAAAATTTGGAGTGTGTTTAGGTATTTTTTAAACAACACGAAAGATGGAAAATAGTATATATAGTATTTAACGGAAAATTCAGCTTTTTCATAGTGGTTAACCCACATATTTCAAGAAAAAATATAAAAAATTGAATTTTTGTTTTAAGGCATAGCTACATCATACACCGACATAGTATGAATATTAAATAGGTTTGAGACCTTAAATGTTCCTATTTCTCCAGAAAATAGACTTTTTATTGGGGTTAATCGACATATTAAGTGATATATGAATGTTACATAAATTAGTCACTGACAAATTGGAAATCATGCCCATGTACCATAAAGATATGTTTAGAAAACATATATAAAATTTGGAGTACGTTTAGGTATTTTTTAAACAACACGAAAGATGGTAAATAGGATATATAGTATTTAAGAGAAAAGTGAGCTTTTTCATAGTGGTTAACCCACATATTTCAAGAAAAAATGATAAAAATGGAATTTTTGTTTTATTGCATAGCTGCATAATACACCAACATAGTATGAATAATAATTAGGTTTGAGACCTTAAATGTTTCCCTTTTCTCCAGAAAATATGATTTTTATTGGGGTTATTCCACATATTAAGTGATATATAAATGTTAAATAAATTAGTCATCGGAAAATTAGAAATGATGCCCATGTAAAATAAATATTTGTTTAGCAAACATATATAAAATTTAGAGTGCGTTTAGGTATTTTTTGAACAACACGAAAGATGGTAAATAGTTTATATAGTATTTAACGGAAAATTCAGTTTTTTCATAGGGTTTAGCCCACAAATTTCAACAAAAAATAAAAAAAATGGACTTTTTCTTTTAATGCATAGCTGCATCATACACCAACATAATATGAATATTAAATAGGTTTGAGACCTTAAATGTTTCTATTTCTCCAGAAAATTCAGCTTTTTCATATATTATTTAATGGAAAATTCAGCTTTTTCATAGTGGTTAGCCTACATATTTCAAGAAAAAATGATAAAAAATGGAATTTTTGTTTTAATGCATAGCTGCATCATACACCAACTTAGTATGAATATTAAATAGGTTTGAGACCTTAAATGTTTCTATTTCTCTAGAAAATAGGATTTTTATTGGGGTTAATCGACATATTAAGTGATATATGAATGTTAAATAAATTAGTCAATGGAAAATTAGAAATGATTCCCATGCACCATAAAGATATGTTTAGAAAACATATATAAAATTTGGAGTGCGTTTAGGTATTTTGTAAACAACTCGAAAGATGGTAAATAATATATGTAGTATTTAACGGAAAATTCAGTTTTTTCACA